GCTGACTTGATTTATCATAAATATACTTTTTATGTTTAATGAAGTGGAAAATAACTGACTCTTTAAATGCATGGTTAACTTTTATATATATATATATATATATATATATAATTTGTTTATAATATCTAAAATATTGAATTAAATTTATCAAATTTAATTATATTAACTTTAAATAACAACATTCTTAAATTATTTTTTATTCATTTTGTCATATAAATATCACGTACTCCTATTTTATTTTTTTAAAGTTAAACCAAACTAAAACTCAATCTACTTTTAAAAAATACCTTTTAGAAAGAAAGACATAAATTACTCATAAAAAATTGAATCTTATTATCAATATATTTGTTGTTATGAATAGCAATATCATAGAGAGAAATATTAAATTAATTTTATGTAATAAATAAGAGAATTTTTAAATAAATTTTGCAGAATCAAAGAAAAAAGTCTTTGGAAGAAAAGTTTGTTAAAAATTAAATATAAAACATTATTAAAATTAACAAATTCTTGGGAGAGACTTTGTAACATGTAATCAGTAAAAATTCAACATACTTTTTTCATATTTTAGGAATAGAAATACAGATTATGCAAAAATAAATGAAGTTGATCATTACTGATTTGGGTTTTATGAAGAAAAATTTAATAGAGAAAAATATTAAATTAATTTTAAATGAAAAATATTAAATTAACTTTCAAGTAATAAAACTGAATTATATTTTTTAGAGAATTTCACACAAGAAATAATTGTTTTTGCAATGAAATTTAATAAAGGAAATAAAATAAATAAGTCTTATACTTCTTTCAATTAAATAAGCTAAAGTTATTCTATATCTGTCTATATTTCTGAGATGAGGTATTGTGATTATCTACATTTACATTCTTCAGATTGTTGTTCTCATCTTTGTTGCCACATTCACGTCTTGGTCATTGTACTCTTAGACATTCTTCAGATGATTGGAATTTTGACCTGAATTTAAAGGGAAATAACTGATAGTGAGCCATCTGGAAAATGCATGGCACATGGAACTAGAACAATCTGTTCCAGTGGATCAAAAATAAAGGTTTTAGTTTGAAATTCAAGTTACCTGAAGAAGGCTGGAGTGTACAATGGCCAAAACCTTGTGAATATGATAACAAAGATCAGGGCAACATTCTGAACAATATAAATAGTGTAAATAAAGTTATTCTAAATGTAAAAAGAACATGTTTCTTTAGCCAACTACAACAACAAACTACAGTTTATCCAAACAAAACTAAAAATCTTGGCTCCCAGTGATAGGATTTGAAATCGGCCTCCAGTATTTGGTGAGAGTTGCACTATGACTTAGCTCTTACTAAAGGATGCTATGAAATGTAGGAATGGTCTCATAGCGACAACAGAGATGAAAAGAAATTAGAAGAAATAGTGATAATGATTATTTTTTGTTTACTATGTTATAACAAAGAAAATCTATTTTTTTTAGTAAATTCTGTTTTTATCCCAAGTTATTTTTATTAATTCATGCTCATGGGAATTCTTCAGGTGTATTATCTAAAAGGAAAGAAATTGGTACATTTAAAAAAAATGGTAGCAAATCCAAAAAAAATGCTGGCAAATATACCAATTAGACCAAGTGATTTTATTCTCAGCAACATGTATAATACCTGTCATTCCATAATTTTTATATAAAGGAAGGCTAACTGTATCACTACTAAACAAATTAATCCAGATAGGTCTTGATAAATACATCTATCTTTTAGGCTAATGTATGCTTTCTCAGGTTTTAGCAATTATTGCTGTTATTTGGACCTTATCTTAGAGACTACAGTGTCAAGTTTCTCCCTTGAGATTATATTCTGCCAAGCCAAGCTTTTCTATTCCTTCTTTGATATGGCTTTCCTACATTTCTTGTGTTTGACTTTCTTTTCAACATCTTCAAGGGATGTTACTGTGATTGTCTATGAAGTGGAGAGTGCCTATCTATAAATTGACTGCTTTTCTGAGATTAAAATATTTTATTGTTAAAAGAAAACATTTCCAAACACTTTAATAATTGTTCATAAAAGATTACTTTATTGACGCTTAAAGCAAATTTCTTAGGTGAACATTATAATACATAGTGCATCAGAAACACCTCTCACATAAGGGTAAGACATCTGTAGTTAATGGTGTCTTCATCTCACTAAAGTCTTACCATTATGTAGGAGGTATTTCTGCCATGCACTGTATATATTTCACTACCTGACACAGGGATTAAAGCAAGTTGCAGGAAAATACTGAATTATACTTAATTAGATTAAAGAGAATTTTCAATTAAAACCAAAGTTCACTTCATTTTTGTCAGGAAAAATTGTCTTGTTTTATGAGAATGCAACTTATGAAATTAGTTGAATTCATAACAAAAATATAATATGTTGACATATGAATAAAATTCATTTAGTTGTCATATGATAGTCTTATGTAGATATCACATGCAAGCATAAATATATGTGAAAGGGCAACTGTATGTTCTTACTTACTGATTAAATTATACTTGCCAAATCCATTGCACAATTCTTTCACGGCCATTTAGTTTTTGCTTAAAATTCTCTGCATGCATGAGCACACATCAACCATAAGAAGCAAAATTGCTTCAAAGTCTAATCCATTTTAAACATTCATTTTGTAGTTATACTTGAAACTTGCTAGTATTTATTCGGCATTGCCACATTATATAAAATGGGACACACTCATTATTTCCAACTTCTTAACCAAAATAAAAAAATCAATTATATATAAAGTTAAAGATAGATAACTTGGATATCTTAGTCAATCCACATCCTCTTTAGTTCAGTGGGGAGGTGCTGATTGGGAGATGGGCCCTTAACTTACAGATTCTAATTATGCTTGTTTGCATCAAGTTCAAGGTTAATCATTTTCTTTCTGAAACAATACTGAACTCCTAATTCAATATTTTGAAATAAATATGAATATTTATTTTAAAATGCTGAACTATGATGCATGATGGGAGTTTGTTTATTCATTCTATGGTCCCTAAACTAGCATCATCTTTTATTAATTGCCAGAAACAGATGTGACCTGACCAAAACTGAACATTTGTTTTCAAATAGTAAAACAGCAGAAATAAAACTTTTAATTTTTTTTGAGTTTTTAAAACTAATAATGCTTGGTATTTTGTCAATATTCCAAATGCACTCTGCTTCCATTTTATAATTATAATTTGCATACTAAAAACAAAACTTACTGGTAAACATTTTGAGCTGTAGATTATGAGATTGGTGCTGAGAAGATGAGAACCAGTAAGAAGGCATGGAGAAAATGAAGATGCCACTTTCTAAGATTAAACGATGATAAATTCTAACAAACTGTTATACATTTTATTTTGAATAAATGTTTATTTTTAGATATTTTTTCTTTATTTTAATAGACTAAAAAGAAATTCTGTAAAAAGTAAACATGTCTTGAATTTTCAATCATTTTTATTAAAAAGGTGTCGTTTTCTTTTACAACCTCGGTTTGTCAGTACCTCCAACTCAGGTTCATCTTTTAGGTTGATTTTTCTTTTCAACAGTATAGCTCTCAGCATCTGGGTGTAGATTCCACCAAGCCACCTGGAAGAGGCATGGCCTGTGGAACTAGAATATAAATACTAGACTCTAGAATTGTTGTTCCATGAACATATAAAATAAATAACACCAGCAGAAAACATAGAACACCTGGGTAAATATTTATTAAGCTTAGTTTTAGCCAAAACTATATGCAAGTATAGTTGAAAAGAAAGATGTGAAAATTTAGGATTTGTGTGTGTGTGTATGAATTCAGTCACTCGGGGAAAGATCTCCCTATTCTGGAAACCGGTCCTATGTTAGTGTTACTTCTATCACATTCCAGAAGGAAAAGAGGAAGTAAACCACTGTCCTGTGGAACCGACGCCCAACAGGATGTTTCCCTAATCACTACAATCTTAACGTGTTCAACGTGTGGATTAAGCATTATCTTCCACTCCTATATACACAAATGGTCTCATAATGTAACCCTCAACATAGAGGGCCCCTAGGCCTTGTAAAGAGTGAACCTTACTGCAAAAGAAAAAAAAAAAAAAATTATTATCCCATTTTTATAGCTGTTGGTGAAGTCAAGTAGAGGTAACACACAGTTCTTATAGATTGGTGTTGCTGAATTTCAAAGAACTGTACCAGATAACAGTAACCACAGCAACAACAATGAAAATGGATAGTACACATAACTAGAAGAGAAAATAATGATACAATCAAATTGATAACTTTCTACACTATTTCAAATAAAAGTTTAAGAAGGAAACTCCCATTAATTCTAGAGTGATGACAGTAGACTTGAGAAACCTCTTTTCTTGAAAAAAAAACTGTCTTAAGAATTTGTAAATATCAACTGACAGTAATGCTAAGTGTTTGGTCAATGTTTCTTTATAAGGAAATAGCTAATCTCACTATTACCATTATCAGTGTTTACTCTGACATCAGAGACCACCAGTGCTTCTGCCAATATTATACTCTATAATACTGCATTATTAAATATAAATGATGTTAGTCTTATATGCCATTAAATATAGAAACTTTAAACAATTTAGAACAGTTTATTAATATTGTGTTGAGTTGTTTTCTTTTTCTTCAATTTTTTCTGACATTCTTGTTTCTCAAATAGATTTTAAAATGATGCATTTATTTTCATAAATTGAAGTCACTGCTTTACTTGAACGTAAGTTCTTAAAATGTTTTTGTTTTTCCTTTGAATATTCTAAGATGTATTTGACATCAAATGAAATATCTTTGTTACTGATGACAAGTTTAAAACTGAATGTTGCCTGCTTCTGAAAATATCTGTTTAGAGGCTTGGAATTTGTTCTTTATATTGCCATAAATATTTTGAGTACTCTTGTAAATAAGACAAACTGAGCCCTACATAAGTATTTACATTTTTCAGATGAAAAAAAAAAATCATCTTTTTTTATAACCAAACTCATTGATATTTTTAACTTTTACAGGAATGTCCAACTGGTATTGTGAATGAAGAAACCTTTAAGGATATATATGCTCAGTTCTTTCCCCAAGGAGGTAAGTAGTTATTAACAGATCAAAGAAAGATTTTGAGTGCCTACTTGAAATTCTCATGATGTAAAATAACAAAAAATATTTTTATTGTATTGCTATTTTTGAGTTTTGCCTTTCTTTCAATCAGAGTGTAGCATCTGTTTCTTTTTCAGTTAAGAAAATAGACTATTTTCTAATAATGAGACAGAGAAGTACTAGGAAGAGGAAAAAGGTCAAACAGTTATGTCCTGACCCCAAAAAGAAGAGGTATTGAGCAAAATTTCATAGAAAAATTAGCTCAGGGTGAGGTGTTGTAATAAAATGTCCCACACTCCCTATCTCATATGTGAACTAACTGTATTAGTAGATATATATAGTAAGCACAGGATATACCTGGTGGATTTACCTCGGGAGTTACTAGCCTGTTAACCAATTCCTTGTCTTTCAGTAGTGTATTCTCTTTTACAATAAACCTCTCTTTCTTTCGTCTATGTGTGTGTTGCTGTTTCTTTCACCTGTGTACCATCTTTGTCTGTTTGTCACCTTTTTTAAGGATACAACATAATAGTAACTGATAAAAAATATTTTGTTCATGTAAATTTAAACAAGGAGCAGATCTGAAGGACAGTCTCTTATGGTTTTTTAGCTTCTCTGTCAACTTTGATCTTCAGAAATTTAAATGCAATGTCACTCATTATCTTCTGTCTTTTTACTGTTTGCTCTCCTAATTTTTTTCTCACAATCTGTAACCCCTTGCCTCTTAGGGGCTTTATTGCCTTGCTTGGGCTGAAATGATTAAAAAAAAAGCCAATCTCTAACTTGGACATTCATTTTCGTCTAACATTAGTTAATCTTGGACTTTACTTCATATTAGTGATCTGGTAGATCATGACAAAGTTTTAGAAAAACAGTTGAATTTTGAGGAAAGAGAGCTTGGAAAATTTGATACTCACAGGACAAATTGACAGCAAGAGGGACAGAACAAGACAATGCATAAGCTAGCAAGTGAGCTTGAGTAAATGGATGGCAGAACAGGGTTTAGGAGAGATAACGAAAAGACAAAATCTATTAATAGTTACAAATAAAAGGAAATTGTGGAGAGTCATGATCACAAATGTCCTGAAGCAACACAACACACAGAAGTTCAAGAGCTTCTAAATAGTATTAGGTAAATTTTAAACACTTTACACAAGAAAGATAAGATACCAGGAACTGAATAAATATTTATATTTCCTTCAGGTATATAAAGTACAATAGTGAAATAATTTACAAAACAAGTTTGGAAATTCTAATGCATTGATTATATATGCATTTTTAAATAATTTATAATGTGTATATATTATTAATTTTTTGGACTATTTTTTCTTTTCATATGAAAAGAAACTGCTTCATCTATTATTATGTAATATAGACAAAATATAGCTTAGTGTAAAAACTGAATAATAAAGTAGGCATTTATATAACAAAGTTCTTAAGTTGCTGGTTTAGTCAGACATATTTTTGAAGGTAGGAGATGCAAGATAAAATCTAGTCAGTAACTTATTTTATTTACAATACATTCTGCTTGCTTAACAGCCTTAATAAAAAGCAGCAAAAGTAAGATGAAAGTAAAGTTAGTCAAAAATTAATAATGACACTACTTCAAATTTACATAATTTAATAGCATAAACACTAGTATTTTTTTATGGGAATGTTATAAGTTTTGACATTTATCACATAGCTGTTTTTAATTACAGCTGACACAATGTCCAATTCAACTGATAAAGTCTATATTTCCATGCAAGAGACAAAATTCTTGGATACACAAGAATAGAAAGAAAAGAGGCTACCCTTCCTTCCTTTCGTGATCTATTTTGTATATGTTTTACAATGATTGTGTTCTTGGCTGAATTATATAATTATCACCTATTATATAATTATATAGCATGTTAATAAATTATATAATCATATAATGTTCATAAATAATGTAACATCACTTATCATGTTGATTTTGATAATACATGGCACAACTAACTTCATTTTGGGATTTATTTTTTGTTTTCATACAGGACATCTAACTCATTCAAAGATGCCTAAACTATCACCATTGTTAAAATGGCTTCAAATGATTTAATCTTACAAATCTTAAAGATGATAATCCTTCACCAGACCCTATAGTTTGTTGGTATAGCTAGCCACTCATATTCGAAGATACCTGTTTACTAAGCTGGCTAACCAATCTCTTGCTTAGTTGCATTTGTGTTTATCCAACACCCACGGAGCCCACCTGTATTTTATAATGCAACTATGCTGAGCAGACTTTCCTTACAGTTTCTGGGAAAGAGCGTGTCATCTAGCATGATCAACAATTTGAATAAGGCCAGTACACTCAAGCACTTGGCCACAATGACTTGTGACTTCATGCTAGCACAGCTATTGACAGCCCCCAAGAGTTCCGTCTACCCAATTTCACTCACAAGGCTTGGGTCAACCCGTGGCATGGTTTTCAGGCACTTTCCAAACCTCTCCAGTCTTATAACATCAAGGTCTCCTTGCTGACAAATCAACCATGGTGAGATTCCAACCTGGGACTCATGGTCAGAATGCGAACATTCTAACCACTCAGCGACATACCCATATTTGGTAGTACAAAATCACAAATAACAAAAACTACATCATTTGAAGAATTTCAACAGCTGCAACAACAAAAATATATAACACATTCGGTTTCGCCTAACATTAGTTAATCTTGAACTCCATACTATATATTAATACTGTTCACTTTACTTTGTATTAGTTATCTGGTAGATCATGACAAAGTTTTAGAAAAACAGTTGAATTTTGAGGAAGGAGAGCTTGGAAAATTTGATACTCACAGGACAAATTGACAGCAAGAGGGACAGAACAAGACACTTTACTTTGTATTAGACAAAAATCTGATAGACCATGACAAAGTTTTAGAGAAACTGGAAACAAAAATTATATTTATATTTAACAACAGAAAGAGACAGTTCAAGTTCTAGGACACATAATGAGGAAAGAAAGCTTGGAAAATTTGATACTCACAGGACAGATTGAAGGCAAGCGGGACATAGAAAAACAATGCATAGGTGTAGACAAAATATGGCATAGTGTAAAAACTGGATAATAAAGTAGGTATTTATACAACAAACATTTTAGGTTGATGGTTTATGGCATATTATAACCTTATGGGGAAAATAATGATATAATCAAGATGATGAGGTTTCCCAGTATCAAAAACAAAAAGTTTGAAAGGAAACTCCCATCTATATTAGAAAGATCAATAACAATTGGTAGACTTGAGAAATCTAATTTCCTGAAAATCTATTTTAAGAGAATGATTCTACAAATTTTATCTGACAATAATGCTAACTGTTCAGTCCATGAATGCTAAAAGTTTCCTGTATGAAAACGGTTAATCTCACCATTATCACAACCTTTCGATGATAACATTAGGTTGTTTGCTTCAGTTGCAGGGAAGAATCATTTTCTGACTGCATTTCTTCTGCATCAACCATTATGGCATCTCATTACTGATTGATTGATCTTTGTAATGAGATCTTTGTCAGAAAATTTAGTAATGGGACAGAGTGCAGGGAGAGGTACATTTGTGCCTTTTGTAAGGGTATCAAGATTATGCCATATCCTCTTAGAATCAATTTAAACTGACACCTTGCTTTTTTTCCAAATATTGTGACCTTAAACTTTAAGTTTGTATTTTCTTGATGTAAAATGAAAACTTGGAAATTTTTGTTTTCAAAATTATGGTTTATAATTATAGCTTAGATAAACAAACAAAAAAAAGGTGTCAGTTTAAACTGATGCCTGGAAGATATGGGTTAATTGAACACACACAACAGTGACTTTTATTTGAACTCAGCTTCATAAATCTACCTTCTACATCAATGACTCTTACAAACCTTCACACCTACTAAGTGTTGTAAAAATGATTTAGAAACTGTTATCTCTAAACACAAACTCAGAAGCCAATTTGCACCTCTGTAATTCTTTGGAAATTCCCCCGAGTGTCTTTATTCTGAAGATAAGGGATAAATATTCTTTTAGTGTTTATGCTAATGATAGCTGTTCTGAAATCTTGATTATTTCACAGTGCATCTGTATTTATAACACTGAATTATCACTTTGTATAACTTTATATAATGTTTTACTGTATTTAGCAGAGTCCATTGTACAGTGTCTTTCTCTATTCTCTTTAGTTACTCAATTATATTTAAGAGCTTTATTTAACTTTCCTGTAGTCTCTTCTCTTTAAAAGATATCAATTCACTTATACTATTCCTAAATGGTTTTGTCATTTTCCACTTCATTCTACATTGCTCTAAGTTCTTTGGAATTGTTTCTGACAGCATATTTGGCCTTTTTGGCATTACACTCAAGACAAATCTAGGATGTCCACACACAATATGCCTTAGTTGATTGCACCTGACAGCACCTGAAGGCATGCATTTGTCTTTTAAATATCTCTCTATGCAGAAAAGAGAGATAATCACTTTACTCATGATTCTCAATGTGCATGAAATCTCTGTGCAAGAAATATAATTTGGCTTGCTTCTCTTGGACATTGCAATCATAAAATATAAAATCCACTGTGGTTTGAGTGAATTCAAGATTTTATGGGAAAAATCAGTTGTTAACTGGAGCAAGAAATGGCTTGTTAATTTTAACACCTCGAAAAGGAAACTGCTATCTTTTAAATATCATAGGGAACCATTTTCACCTTTCATCAGCATGAATAATTCTAACCTCAAGGAGAGCAACTCATAGCGCCTTCTGATCTCACATTTTCCACATGACACATAGAAGTTCAAGAGCTTCTAAATAGTATTAGTTAAATTTCAAACACTTTATACAAGAAAGATAACAAGTCCTGGATGCATGAATAAATGTTTGTATTTCCTTCACATATATAAAATACAATAGTGAGATAATTTAACGAGTCTGGAAATACTAATGTGTTGATTATATAAGCATTTGACAGATAACTTCTCATTCTCTTTCACTCT